TCCAGGGCACAAAAGGTCTAGCTGTGTAAGGGGGTTACATATTTGAAAGTTAACCAGCAAATAAAAATTAATTATAGAACCTTGAGCTTTTCAAGCATTGAGGTTTTTTTCTTGAACATCATTAATTCAAGACAACATAAATTAGTCTTCAAATTAAAAAAGCTCTGAAATTATGACCAGTGCCAGAGAGGAATCTGACCCTAAATGGGTTCCCTGAAATAGAACATGTGGTCACGCTTGTGGGGATCACAGGCATTGTTGCTCCAGAGTTGACCTCTTTGTTTTCCTATTAAAAAGAAATATGCATATATATTTCCTAGATGAATCTTAGAATCAAATTTTCTTGTTGGAGATGGAAGGGAACTGAAAAATAAGTGCACCTTCAAGCCCATGTAAATGTATTTTCCTTAAGTAAAAAGGAAAATTCATCAATACAGGCTATAGGTAACTGATGAAATCGTCTTTTGTCTAGGAAGGACTTTATAATTTATGATTATTCAGGTGCATGGCTGGTACTTCATTGTATTAAATAAAATCAACTCTAAAGATTGTAGGGTTACAGAAGTGAGACAGACTAGGTCTACAGAGAATGTTTTCCTATTCTATTATTATTCTAATAATTATAATTATTACTCGTACTGCAGTAAGAACTTGGAGATGATGCCATGGACACAGCATATTTTCTTCCCAGTTTAAAATTTTTAAAAATGTATTTTCCAGATTATGCATCTCTGCCACACACACAGAAAACCTCTCAAACTGAAAATAAATAAATAAAAATTATACAAGGTTTAGCCCAGTCTAAGGTGTCCCTCATTTCCTTTCCTTGAGCACATCTGTCTCCAGTGTCAGGTTACTAGTGTGCATTCTTTCTGCTTGCTGACCACCATTTTCTTCCCAAAAAAATCCTGTCTCCCTCTAGGCAGGAAAGGCAGCTGAGAACTAATAGGCAGAAAAGTGACTTTTTTTTTTTTTCCCGAAAAACCATAAAATGCCAAACAGGAGGAATAGGGTTTAGGTTTTTAGTAGGTTTCCATTTCCAAGCACAGACTAAAATAATGTCAGAAAGAGAGATTTGTCCTGAAATCACAATTTTTGAGCTAATGAGTTTTGTCTAGAAAAAGTAGTCTTCATGATTATAGTCAATGAAGAAGGCAAACATTATATTTGGCATCTGGTGCTGTACCCTGGGCTGAAGAAAAAACATCCTTTATATTCGTGGCGGGCACATAGACCCTATAAAACCATGAGACAATAATCCCAGTGAAACTTGTGGTTTAAAAAAAAAAAAATCACAGACGCCTAGACAGCATTTCAAAATTTATCCCCTTGAGCAATTCTTCACCAACTTTCTCCCCTCAAACAGCAACTCACATAATCTTTTTGAATTTTTCTATTTTGTCTTTTGCACAGATCACATACCATCTTGCAATATAACAGAAAGGAAAAAGGAAAAGCCTAGAATTTTACCTAATGATATTTGCAATTGGACTTGATGATGTGCTTCACCAAATTCTTTTGAAGTAAAGGTTTTTATCCCAGTCTTGTCTGGTTAGTGAAATAATTCTTCTGGATATGCAAGATGGATTAACTTGGGGAACACAAAGTTAGAATATCTGATTAGAAAGTCTGATATTATATCTCATCTGACACTTCCAAGTCAAAATTAACAATTTTCACTTACTATCAGTTACTATCACTGCCGAACATTCAGCGTGTCTCCTTATAGAACAGTAGAGGTCCACAATGATCAATATATTTTTACAGGCCACCAGCAGGGGAAGAACTATTATCCAAGGGGATATCTGAGATACAGGGATTGAAACCAGTATTGCCATATGTAACAATTAATTCCTGTACTTGAGAGGCTTCACTTAACATTTATACTGATTGCACTTGAAAGCTGTTCTCAAATATTAACAATAAACACTATAGTTTATAGTTATATGCTAGCCTTGAAAGAAAAGGTAGGACTCAATTTTTCCAAGCCCAATAGAGAATGCTAATTAATTCCTTACTTTATACTAGGAAGAGTCCACTTATCTTTCTTGCCTATTGCCATCATCCAACTCTGCTTATTCTACTTCTTAGTGCTATGAATTTGACTGTTTCTTCACATTATTTCATCTTTTGTTTTTGCAGTGACTTGCTCTCTCATTTATCAAAATACTTTTTACTTTTCTATATGTGACAAAATAATTTGATATTCCCTTAGTGACTTTTCCCTTAGTCCGGTTTTATTATTAGAAATGGCACAATGATTTCAAATTATTTTTTTCCCAAATAAAGACTGTAACAGTCACTCTATACTGAAAATGTAACACAGAAAAATTTCTTTCTAGTGAAGTGATACAGTACTTACTGAAATGTGTTAGGCAGAAGATAATGCCATGTGTGTTACTTATAGTTAATGTTTGATATTCAGGAAAGGCATTTCTAAATACTCCTTTTCACAACTTTCAAAATTATTTCTGCAATATGCTAACTATTTTTTTTTTTTTTCTTTCTGGATGTAAACTGATAATTTGACTATTTGATCCTATCAAAGAGGAAGTCTGTTGGAAAAGTAGCAATGATATAGGTGATAAATGCTGAAATCATCATTCCTTTATTGTGTTCCTTTCAGATTACAAGAGAAGGGAAGCTTTTGATTCAAAGAACCAATTCTTCTAACTCATAAAGCATTATCTACAGACCTCCAGCTTTCCTACATACTTTACATTCCCTTTCCTCTTGAACCAGCACAAAGCCCACCAGCAAATACTGTGAAAAAGGCAGAACTATTACATCACTACATTCTGACCAGTTGTTATTTGCCTGATTTCAAGCAGCAGTATGCCACTTGAAAGTAAGTACCTGAAGGAAATCTGCTTGCAAAAGAACTACAAACTCTAGAGCACGGCTGTAATACACTTTAGAAATTTCTTCAGGGGCTAAGCAGGGAATTACTACTGTAGCTTACACGAAAATTGCAATAAATCTGTGATTTATAGTGACTTGGTTATAGTGACTATAGTTATAATGACTTGGATTTTATCAGCCAAATAAACCTTTGTAAACTTTTACACAAGGTAACGGTGGAACTAGTAAACAAGCTAAAAACAAACATAACAAGCAAACAAAAACAAAAACCAAACCATAAATATTGCACTTAAATATTTTATCTTACTAAATTTCCTTTAAAATTTAATGTCTCCTCAGAATATCGGTAAACTTGACCACATTCAGGTGCAGAAAAGGCCTAGATAGCCCGAGGGACTGACAACAGTCTATGCATTCTTTCTGCCTTTTAGCTATTTACAGAGTCTCTATCACTTTGAAGTCTGTATGACTTTCCACCTTAGGGTTATGAGTTTGAACACTGCTGAATGAAAGTCACCATCATTTGCAGGGATGTACAAACAAGTTTGCCAGTGTGTTCTCATTCATGGCGAGCAAAAGAACACATCCCTAAATGTGTCCTAGTGGAGACAGAATGAAATTTAGGGTATTGAGGATGTAACCCTGACTCTGTCAAAAACTTATTATGTGATCTGGCCACAGCACTCCTCTCCTTCTCCACCACCTTTGTATTTGAAATGATACTCTCTTTATGACAATTCTGTTATTGGCACCATGGGACCCTGATTTCAGCTGAGCTAGTGGCATCAATATTAAAGAGAAGTCTAGTTTAAAGGTAAGAGATCCTAAAGAGAAAACTTAATGACCACCTAGCCGTAGAGAAAAACGGACAAATGTGATCAACTAGCAGAAGATTTCCTTTGCTGCAGGATTTTCCTTTGTCTGAGACACCTTCCTCAGCAGTCTTGACATCATTTCAAAACATTTAATAACTATTTTCACCATTTATTCAAGCTGCAAGTTGTCTTTAAATTCATATGGACATACTCTCATTAGACAACTGAAGTAACCAAGTAATGATTGGGTAACTCTTTGAGTGGGAACTAGCATGCACTCTTAAGTTAAACAGAGTTTTAAAGAAAATGGGAACGTCCACAAGGGAAAAAATACAGGGGCAATTAAATTTAAAAAAACCCAAAACAATAAAATAACAAAACAACAACAATTATATATTCCATTATTTTAGCAATTAGGCAAATAACTTTATAAAACTTTCAATAATACTTAGCTATTGATGATGGTAGTATTTAATCTGTAAAGAAAGGTACTCTTTCCTGCATATTTTGAAACAGAAACTTCTCCCAAAAAGGGAAAAATTTAAATTTTCTTTCCAAATCACTAGGTGCTACTCTATCACAAGAAGTCAGCAGCTTGAAAATAAGAAAAGGACCAGTCGAATTTCAACTGATGCCAGTAATTCACTGGATTTCAATGCCATCACTTCTGCTCCCACATTCCTCAGATTTTGCCATTCTTCTCTTCAGGCTTGGATATCTGCACAAGCTGTTTTCAGCGTGCTTTGTTGAAGCGAGCTCTCACCATAAACTAGAACAAATACACTGCAATGTACAGGTGGGTTATGCAACCCACTGTCCCATCCAAAACTGCTCCCCTCAGACTAGCGCTGCTGGAACAGATACATCTGTTTTACCCCACGCGGTAAAAAAATCTCATATATTAATTCCTGAATATTCTGATCCTTTAAAAATAGTGGACGGTACAAAAGACACCCATTAGCCTTAACTACTGTCAGTTGCACTTTGAATAGCCACAACTTCGCAGCTAGTTTAGGGAAGACAGAAAGCATTTGAGCTGCGAGGAGGGCCATGCTTGGGGGGCTTCCCTGCCCCCGCTTTCGGGGGGAGGGGGGAAACAAAGGTCGGGGGGAGACTTCCTGCCCCTGCCATTGCTGTCTGCATGTGGGACCAATATGGGCAATGCAAAGTTTAAACAGTTGCAAATGGGGGAGGGAACATTGCGGGTTGTTTTACATATGTTTTTTTCTGCCCGGCTTGAATTTAAAGTGAAGTGGCCGCATTGTTCGAGAGGCTCCTTGGCCCTACAGGAGCTGCTGTTTGCACGGGCTTTTCATTCCTGCGCTGTTTGCTTATGGAAAATAAGGGGGAGTGACAGAAAAAAAATAGAAGGGAGAAGAGAAGAGAGGAGAGGGAGGCCCAGACCGCAGTGCAATCCAGGAACCTTGCCCCTGCCTGATCATTAACCCTGCTGGTGAAGGCGGCTGGCTCTGGCTCCCCGGCTTATCCCTGGCATGTGAGCGGGCAGGGGCTTCTGCCGCGCTGCCGGCCCCTTACAGCCCCGCGGGCCGCTGTTCCTACATTTCCTCGCCTATACACACATACGCACACCCTCAGAGCTCGCCTCTGTGCTGACTGCAGACATGAGACTCCAACTGCTCCTTTGGATCGTGTTTTTGCTCCTGGCGAGCCTCCTCCCAGCCTACGGACAGCGGCCAGGTAGGCGATGCCTCAACGTGAAGGACGTGGCGGGACGGGAGCCTGGGGTTCGTGCCTGACGTGGGCACCTCCGGCGTGTTTCTCTCATCGCGCCCAACACGAGTTTCTACTCGCGAGACGAGTTTCTATTTAGCGCATCGGTCTGTGCGCTTCATCCCTACGTGTAGCGGCAGCGTGAGAGGATGCCTCAGCTATCTCAGGAGTTTGGCAGCTTCGGGGGTGAGGGGGGCTGGGATAAATAGGGACCCAAGGTAAGCGTAGACCTGCTACCGGGAAGCACCGGCGGCACGGGGTGGGCGGGGGAGGGCACTGGTAGCTCTCGGGGAGCGGAGCGGCGGGGCCGGGGCTGCCCCGTCCCGGGAAGGTGACACCGGCCGCCTCCGCGGCGCGACTGCCGGGGCACACTGCCGAACGCCTTCCCTCACGCCCTGCTCCCCTCTCTCCGCAGTCAACCTGGCCCTGCGCAGGAAGCTCCACCGGCACGGCTGCTCCCACCGGCGCTGCATGCCGCTCCACTCCAGGGTGCCCTTCCCCTGAGCCCCCGCCCGAGCCTGCCCAAGGTAAATCCGCGTGTGCCGGGAGCGCTCCCCGCAGTGAGCATCTCTCCGAACTCACACCTGCCAGTCGGAACAGTGCACGAGGCACTGGAGGAAGCAAGCCAAGCCACAGGTGTGATTGTAGCGGGGCTCCCCTCATTTGGTTTGAAAACGGGGCTTTGGAGCGGCCCTGGCGGGGCGGTCGCTGCCGTGGGGCCGGTGCGTGGGTCCCGCCGGCCACAGCATTGTCCCCCTTCCAGGCCACCGCACCCCCCCATGCACACACCAGATGCCTTCGTGAGGCAGGGTAAACAACAACCGAGTCCGCTAAACGGGCCGATCGCTGCCCTCCAAGGCTGTTGGCAAAGCTGCGGGGCAAAGCAGCAGCTGCAGAAGATGCTCTGGGGCTTCAAGCACCGACACTCCCTTCGTGTTGGATGCAGGGCGAAGTCACCTCACTCTGCCCATCAGTAACACGAAGGTAGTAGCATTCACCCACTTCAAAGGGGACTGTAATTCTTAATCATTGTCAGCAAAAGACTTTGAGCTCCTTGGATGAAAGGCTATACAAGTGCAAAACATTAATGCTTTATAGCTGATGAGCGCATATACATTCAAATACTAAGTGACTGCAGAAGCACACAGGTAGCATATGCAAATAGGGGGGCATCAAAAGGAAACCAGGGCTCTTGCAATTTAAGAATGAATAAAACATGCAGTCAGTAGTTTTGCATCTTCTAAACTCATTATATATTAAAATAATGTTGTAGCCCTAGGCATGACAGCATGCTAAGCAAATGATGGCAGAACCTGTGCTCTGTAGAATCAAGATGTTTTGATTTACTAGGTGTTTAACAGTGAAAAGGAGACCGAAGTCAAACTTTTAACAACCCTATACCAAGAATCTCCTCAATGCATAAACTGCCTTGATGAAAAGAGCCTACACCACTCCCAAAACAGCTGTGCAAAAGGTACCATTCCACTCTATAGTGCTGGCCTATAATCACGTGGAATGTACATATGGGATAGTAAACTGGCAAATTTGTGAAACTGAAAAAAAGATAACCATATTTTAATCTCTGATGGGCTTGCATACTAAGAGGCAGAAATAAGCTGTGAGTATAAAGGAGGACATGACGGAAGGATGCTTTACTACTGAATATCATGTCTACTCACTGCTACATTTAGACAAGAGACAGATTAAATGACATTCTATCATCAGTTTAAGCATAAACCTAAAAAGATAAAGCAATCGGATCAATTCTCTCAGCAGGCAGAGACTGAATGGACAGAGGGACAGACAGTGGAATTTAGGCCCAGAGACTTCTTGAATCGATTCTGAATTATTTGCTTCAGCTCCCAAGAAAAGTAAATTTAACCCCCTTTTCCTCCTATTCAGCATTAATATCTGGAAATTGTCTGTGTAGAAAGCATCTTCATTTTCTCTTATGTGCTCTGTAACCACATATTGCATTTTGCTTGAGACTGCAGTAGCTGCATTATACATGTGCACTTACACTGGAATTACTTTCCCTACAGAATATCAAGATAAAAGGTATTTGCAGTGTTATCTCCTTTTCTGTGGGGAGTTGATTTCTTGTAACAAAAGTCAATAACAAAGCAAAAGAGTGTACTTACTAATTCATAACACATTTTGTAGACATTTAGCTAAAGATGCTTCTGCTTTATAAAGCTGTTTAGAACTTAGTAAAGCTTGACTAGGGAGTAAGGGGTAACAGACACCTGAACTAACTCTCTTGAGTCATCATTGTGGGTGATCAACTCCTTTATCTTAAGTAGGATTTACCACCTACATTCTCTTCCACTTTTAGTCCTAATTCAGCAAATATTTACATGCCTGGGTAACTTGACTCACATGAGTAATCTTATTGATCTCAGTGGAGTTGTACATATGGATAAAGCTATTTGCAGATGCAAACAGGACGGACCCTTAAGCGTGAATTTCAACTAGTGGTTGGAAACTTAGGATGAGCATAGCAGCCTCTCACAACATTTAAAATGAGGAGAGGGTTGGACTTGGTTTTTTTATCAGTTACATAGGCAAAACACAGGAGAAAAAATTGAAAGAAAATTTTATATTAGGAACCTTCTTGGTTTTGGTTTGGTGGTGGTTTTTTTGGTTTTGTTTGTTTTGTTTTGTTGTTTTCCCCCCCCTTAAACTTTGTAGCTGAAGTTTCCAAATTAAGAAACATTACTCCAAATTTCATCCATGTATTTCACAAATAACATATTTTGTTTTATATGAGACTAATTTAGACTAAATCTCTCAATAATGACTATTTCTCTCTTTTTTTTCTTTCCCCAGCAATTTCACAATGGGCTTTTCAGTGTTTTAAAGGAGCAACAGTTAAACAGATAGAAAATTTAAATTAGTCAAAAGTCCAGATCGACAACAGCTGACCTGACACCCCCACAGTTCTGTCTTCAGCAGTCCTGTCTGTCACATTCTGCTGACCTGGAAGAGGTGGTGGAAGGGTAGTGATGGAGGATGTACATGAAACTTACCTGGTTGAATCATTCGATGTAAATTCTTTGACTCTCCTAATGACTAGTGAAAGCTAAAGACCAAATCAAACTCAAACCTGAGCTGGGGTTCCAGTGGCTTTAAGAAGGAAGGATCCATCAAAGGGGACTCTTAATGGTATGTAATGTTCAGACTGAATGAAATTGGATGTGCTGTTAACTACTCAATTCAGGCTGTGTATAGGGCAGTATTTAGGGTGAAATAATGTCATACTCCAGTACAGAACTGTGTCCACTGTTTGTTTATACTTTTATATATTAATAATATATACATATGTGTTTTAACGCCTAACAATACATCTTTATGGAATTACCTAAATAATAACATAGAATGCATAACTGTAATAGTATCAAAGTCAGTACCACACTAATGGTCCTACTGGCTTCACATAGAGTAAGCATAGTGAGAGTTTACAATATAAGAAAGCAAAGAGAGTGTTATCCCTCATTCTGTAGATAGAGAATTGAAGCATACAGAGATAAGAGATTAGCCAAGGGTCATGCAAAACTGATAACTCAGATCTCTTAAGCCAGGCCTTAAGGTCAAGCCCATCCTCCTGTCTAATGAGCTGTTACTGCAAAGAAAAATTTGTGCTCTTAAACTGGGCTGCCAAACCAGACAGTTAAAACACACTTGAAAATTCAGTACAGAGCTGTTTGCTTAATAGTAGTTTTCCTAAAATACCCACTGCAGTATTATAAATAGACCATAAAAATAGACCATTGAAAAGAAACCTTTGTTTGATCAACCAAAGTGTTGTGTAGTGCTCTATTCCTGTAATTTAAATGAATGGGATATTTGAACATGGCACTACAATGAATGAGAATTTCAGAGAAAAAGAACAGGCTGTTCTTTTCAGCTCTGTAGGTCAACGAGACATTTGAGTTTTGTTCTTAAAAATACATGTTTCACATCTCCTTTTTATATCATCAGAAATTACATACCTACATATAAAAAGTGGTAGCCCTTTCATAAGCACAACTAAAACAAACCTTAAAATAAAACATACCCAGATTTTTAAGTCATTGCACTAGACTTGAAATGTCATTATTTTTTATAAAATGTATAAAGATGAGCAAAGATCAGGAGTGTCACGGTTTAAATCCAGTATTAAAATTTTCTTGCAACACATAATTTCTAATAAATGAAAGAACAGCAATCAAGAAAACTGGAGAGTTGAAACTTCCTTATCTGTCTATATGTAATCCCTTATCTCTAAGAACTTGAAAACTTAATCGAATTCATACTCCCAGAGCTTAACAGGAGTTTCAAATTTCTCTGCATACTAAAAAAAAAAAAAAAAAAAAATTAACATCCCACCCTATTCTGGAGTTGTGGAAAATCATATAAAAAGATGGTCAAACTTGTCTATACCAACAAACAGTCCTGTAGGTAAACTTTTGGAGTCTTGAAATAAAAGCAGTTTTCCAAAGAGGCTTAATATATTGTTTAAATTATTTATTTAACTTTGCTTCCTTCTGTATCAATGGCTATCTCTGTTTAGAAGTACAGGTAAAGAGTGTGGGAAAGCAAGAAAAGCAAAGAGCTGTTTAAGTTATGTTGTATATGAGTATATGGATTTAATGTGGCACTGGATGTTTTATATAACCATAATTATTCAATTAACTTTGACAAAATTGTAAGAAAAACATTATGTATCTATTCAGAAGGTATATGTGAATGTTCCTTCACAGAGGAAGCCTGTTGTCAGTCTGCAAAATTATTCTAAATGTCTGTTCTTTAAAGACATGCTGATACCATAAAATCTTCTTTGAAAAAGACATTGATTATGATTTTTGATATGTTTATCAACTGGTTGGTTGATTGTATATTTTGTACAAAGACAGTATGCATTTCAAATAATACCTCATTTTAAATAAACTCTGTACACTTCTCAAAATCTATTTTCTTCAGCTGTCAAAGTCAATGCATTTAAAGAAAATGGAGAATTTGCCTAGTTTCCCTGTGGATGCATAAGGAATCAGTGTGTAAAAATTTTTCTTACTGAATTTTTGATAGGTTTTCATGGAAAAATTTTCCTGACATTTTTCAAAAAGCAAAATACTGATAAAAGTCATGTAGAAAGAACTCTAATTTAAAACTACTAGTTGATATAATTACAGCATGCTGTAACATGACATCATGTTACACACTAGGATTACAAGAAAACCAGACTATGTGTTGTCTCCGAGCCTAGAACAAGCAACATTCTTAATTACCTCTCAGAATGAAATCTGAATGTTCTCACAAATTGAAAAAATTGCTTTTTTTTCCGGACAAAAATGAGCTTAGCAGAAGCTAAAATACGCAGTAACTTCCCTCATTAAGGGTTGAATACTGTAAATACATTTCTAAGTGCTAGATGCCTTGCACAGTAGAATTAAGAGAGCTGAGTAGTAGCATCCTACTACAGCACAACACTACACTGACTTTTAACTTCAGTGGGAACTTCAAAGGACTTTGTTTTCAGATGAGCTGGATTTGCCTTTGGCTTCGCTGAAACAACCTGTTTTCATCCAACGTGTGCCATGGAAGGCTTGTGGTAAAAACAGTTTTGCATGATAAGAGTTTTTACATATATAAATGTGAAGCATTTGAACACAGTGCTACAAGAGGTGAGTTGACCAAGCTCTCCTTGATCATGTACCAGTGTATGCTTAAAGGAAGTTTGTACAAATACAAATTGCCATGAACTGAAAATCAGAATTGATGTTTGCATGGATGCAATCTAACAATCAAGACCTGATCACAAGGTAGATTCAGACCTCAAAATTCTGAGAAACATGAGTTTCTGAAACTTAGAATTAACTCTTAGTGTTCTAGTTGTTACGTTGGAAAAATGAAAATTTTACTTTAAGGTAGGTTTCATTAAGTCCTGTAACAGGAGGTCAACAGGAAGCAGAGGTAAATGCAAGGCTTTGGTGAGAAACAGCAGTTTAGCATGTTCCCAAAGGATAATAAACAATTCACCTCTTCCCTTTCCAGTATGGAAAAAAGGAAATTATAGAAGAATAAAGACTGGAAATATTTCCCTTATGCCACATACATATGCTATAAATATCTCAGTGTCTGTACACAAAGCCAAGGGTCACATAAGACTTATATTGACATCAATCAGGAGAAAAATTAGTATGGTAAATAAATTTCAAATATTCAACCAGCATCAGACAATTACAATTAGCATACTAACCTCTCACTACTCCGATGGCCTTTCTCTTTTTTGCTAGTGATCAGCTGCAAAATATTTGTGCAAAGCAGGAAACACTCCCAACAGCACCAATGGGGCAACGTGTCTTGAGATAAAAGAATGCCTAAGAGCCTAACTCATTCCAAGGCTGAAGATGCTTTTCTACTTCCCTTGAGAGTTACCTGTTAAACTGTTGTCTGTTCAAGTCCTTTTGGTCCTTGCTGCAATAGTTTTTTAGACTGACTCAGTAGCGGAAGCCTGCTAAACTGCATGGTACTGTAGAACCTTAAAGCAGGAAAATCCTGCTCAAATCTTTAAAAATCAGTTTTTTCCCTCGTGAGGTGCACTATTAAAGTGCTTATATAGAATATTCACTATGAGCTATTCAGAAAGACAAAACAGAAATACCAACTGAGAGTTTTTCCCTTGTACATGATGTGTATTCACAAAAGATCATCATATCTTTCATATGTACAAAATATGTAGCACAGTTCAGCATTTCATCTAGAAATTACTAAAAACCCACAAAGTTAACATTTTTTGGGCAACTCCCAATCCTTTATGTTTCTTCTTCTATGGTCTGAAATACATTTCCCAAACCTGAAACACATACGTTGTTTTTCTACAGAAACAAAAAGCTATTGGGGTGATACCTGAGCCATAAAAACCAAAATACATTATTTTAATTTTTATTTTAATATACATTTGTAACATATATAAGGAAACATTCATTTTATTATCTTCTTGCTGCCCTAGCTGCAATCCCGTAGATCTTACCAAGACCATGAACCTGCAAACACAGATGCAGTTCAGCAGCTGTAGTTACATAAAGAGCACCACTTCAGCTGTTCATAGTCACATGTATTCACCTACGTGCAGGTTTGCCCCACATCCCCCAAGAAGAGCTGTGATGGTAGTTAAGCAAAACACTGTTTTGCAGTGGAGCATGTGCAAACCCCTGTGCTCCCAAGGTAGTACCTTTCCCCCCGCCCCAAGCTTGGACCTAATGCTTCACTGCTTACTGCATGTGCAGCACACAATGGGTTTTACTTCAGGCAGTCAGATCCAGCCCAGGAGCGGGTGCTGACACTGCAGCAACCCAGACTGCAACACTGGTGATATGGACCAAGGGTTGCCCCGAAGCTGGTCAGACAGCACTGGCCACCACAAAGCCCAGCACCTAACCTCACACCAGCAGAGGTTCCCAATAAGCAAGAACAAGCATAACCAGAACAATTAGGACTCATTGTTCAATTTCAGCACTGTGGCACGACAACTCAGCAAGGTCACAGCTGAGCTTCATCTCTCTTGCACAGCAGCAACCCTTTCATGTTGCATATCAAGCACGTGAATGCACAGTCTTCCTGAGCAGGACTGCAGTCCCCGGGCAGGGTGGCCAGCAGGAGGAGGTGGATGCCCATGGCAGCACCCAGCAATGCCACACCATGCATCTGGGCAGCCAGCACCAACGGAACGCAGGAGGCTGAGGAGTATTTCTGCCTCTGAGCAGGGCAAAGGCTGGCCTGGACAGGTGCAGACAAGGGCCTTGGGGCTGACACACATAACTGTGCATGACGTCCTTGTCCTGCTCCAGTAGTTCCTCCTTGACAACTCATGGTGGCTCTACCAGTGCCACAGTACAGAAGCGTTCAGGGTGAACAGTAAAGAGGGCCAGCTCCTAGGTGGAGCCCATACAAATGTGAAAAGCCTTTCCCCCCCCCCACCTCAAAGAAAAAGCTTAAAGATACTAAGCAAACAAGACAGAGTTAGGGTTATGATGAAGATATAAAACTGGAGCAAGGGGTGAGTGGTTGTTATCATTTGTCTGCTTATGAAAAGCCACAAATTAAGGGCAGAAGATGTGAATATTCTCACACAGCAACCCACACTGTTTTCCAGCTACCATGTTCCCCAGAAAGCAATGACTCATAGATTGAGGTTTTACCTTAAGCAGTCAAGGAAGGGAGGTGGAAAGCAGTCAAGGAGGGAGAAATTACCTCAAAATACAGTAAAGTTGTTATGCTGCACTATGTAGCCTATTTCTCTATGTTGAAGAGAAACATTAAGTAGCAGGGAAATCTGAAGCATGATGGAAAAAAATGGAAAGAGAATAAAACTTAATGCAAAGCTTTGAAACAAGTGCACAGCCATCCTTGTTTGGCTAGTTTTGCTAGTTTTAAGTGCCAACACTGCTGTGAGAACTTCAGTGTAATAGAAAAATCTGCACAGATTGCCTGTTGGAACCAGATGTACATGAGCTTAGAAATGACAGAATTCACACTCTTCCTTGGTTGCATTTATTGTGCACAAACTTCACAGTCACATTTTACTGCTTTTCATAGAAATGATATAGATTGATAAACACAATCACATCAAAACCTGAGTTCTAAAACCAAACATTTTTATTCCTTATATGTATCCTATAAAAACTTGGCCACATTTTCAAGAAACAATAGTTAAGGAGAACAATCTAGTGTTGGATAGCAGCAAAACCTCCACTATTTGTTTTCCTTTGAATGAGACAACACATAATTGTTGCACACTACACAATTAAGTTATTTCTGAAATTGTACCCCAAGACTAGAGTAGGATGAGTTAATTCTCTTTTCCTATATTCAACTATGAGACCACTCCTCATGAAGTCTTCTTCCCAGTTTTCATTAGTTTTACCCTATTCCCACAGAGGTATTGGCTTCTAAAATAATTTTTGGTCTACATCGGTAGACAAAGTAGTACCCAAACCAAAATGTTTCTTTCACCAGCCTTTGTTCACCATAAATTAAAAAATTCTTGTTTCTTCAAGTTCTAAAAGAGCTGTCTTCTGCTGCTTTTCACCTCCCCACATACACTATTTTAGCTACTGTATCAAGATGCTGTCTTTTTGAAGAGCCAAAGTAAAGAGCAAATATGTGTTAACTTGGGCATCTTCGACAGAATAGTTAAACCCATTCACCACAGAGTAGTTGCTAGGTCAATGAAAAAGCTTACTCTCAAGTATTTTTGTATTAAGTTACTTCAGTCAGCAGAGAAGGAACCTTGTTATTAGCTGACAAAAACTCCTAGTAATGGGAAAGGCATCAGCCCTGAAGATCTCTCAGTTTTAAAGCCAGAATTCTGAACAACTGCTCAAATTGATGATCGTGACATTGTTTTGTACCACAGACTTATGTGTGAGATTTGCAATTTTAGGGCACCCACTACTTTTTTTAAATCCTAAATTGGATACCAATTTTCCCCACTTTCTTGACAAAGGAGAAAAGGAGACTGATCTAGAAAAGAAGTATCTGTATCAGATTAGTGAAGTACACCACCTCCATCACTAGAAGTAATGGGAATCAGTGACATAATACATCCAGTCCCAGCTTCAGCAATAGAAAATGAAAAGACACCCCTTGCAAAGTCAGATTTTTCTAGAGAACAAATTTTTGTTCTAGAAATGTAAAATACTTTGGTAACTTGAAGCTTAAAGATTACAGCAGTACAAAATAATAGAAACAACTGAGCAAAGTTAAACCGTTAACTCAGGTCCAACTTTAACATATGAGGAATTAAAAACTGTTGAAGCTGCAGAACTTTTTCCCCAGAACTGATGATTTGAAGAGTGTGTCCAGTTGTAACAGGTTTATAGTGTATGCAGAGCTTATCCTTCCAGCTGAAAGTGTATTTCAAAACATGAAAGACGATTGAAGAAGAGTCATCTGCACAAATCAGTCTGGATATTACATTACCTCATCTTCCCTCCAGAG